GTAGGCTCCATCTAGGGTGGTGGGTGTTAAAGTCCCCTAGTATAATTAAGGAGGGTTCTAGAGTCTCTTTAAGTAGGCGCCTTTGGATTGTTGTCTTGTTAAGCCCTTCTTTTAGGCTTTTTTCGTTATAAATGTTATATATATAGATCCTAGTTGTAGAGGAGAGTATTGTAATAGCTTGTAAATCGTTGTCGTTGCTAATATATGGGTTGACCTCTGCATCTATGTCTTTTCTGATATAAAAGAGCGTTCTTGGCCTTAACCCCTTATAAGTAGGGAGTATTTGAGTAAAGTCTTGGTGGGCGATTGATCTAGTATTCTCGTAGGTATGTCCCTTTAGTAGCCAGGGTTCCTGTATAGCGATAATCTTGGCGTTTACTTGAATAGCTAGATTTAGAGCGCTCTCTATAGCAGGGCTACTTCTATTAACATTTATTTGTAGGACTTTTAACATTCTAGTTAGAAGAGGTAGTAGTCTTAGATGTCCTAGCTTGTAGGATTTCGCAGTTTTGGCTATTAGTTGCGTAAGGCTGTTAAGAGTATAGATCAAGTGGAAGTAATATAAGACTTCTGGTGTTGATCTTCTTGTTGGTTAGTTTTCGCAGATAGAGTGACAGGGTGCAAACGAGGACAGTAACGTGCAAGTAGAATAACTCTCTGTATTGTACTTGTACTTAAAACTTAAGTTAAACACATTAAGCTATAAAGGCTCAATGCCTATACTATATACTAAAGGAATGTCCTATGTTCTATATTGTCCTACATGTATCATGTTGTCCTATACGTGGTACTTCGTGGGACATCGTGGGATCCATGAGACACACGTGACTTGTCTCATAGTAGCGTTCCGCCAAGACCGTGGGACGCGGGGCGCTCATGCGTCATTAGTCTATATGCTCTTGTTATTTCGTAAGGCCTTAACATAGGCTTCTTCCTTTCTTCTTTCTTTATCTTTGTGCTATTCCCTTCCTTAGGTTCGTAACACTATCCTCCCCTTCCTAGCTTCATGTCCTTATGAGCTAACTTGTCATGGTCTCTAGAAGTACTGCGCACCGTCATTCCGTTAGTGACCGAATTAATCGTACTAGAGAACTCGCGATGGTTTCTTGTCAATATTGCGCGAAGCGGGGTTTGGAGTGTTAGATGTCGTTGTTGAAGAAGGAGTGTGGGAATTGTTATTGGAATGGTGTGAAGTCGTGTGTTCTAGTGGAGGTTCTGATCCTGAACTTTGAAAAGTTGGATCAAGAGTTGGCGCGTCTTGAACAACAAAAGGCTAAGGTTGATGTAGCGGAGTCTGTAGCTCTAGAGGCGCTAATAGCGGCGCGTGCGAAGAAGGATCGTCTTTGTAAACAAAGAAAAATCCTAAAACGTCGTGAACAACAGTGGGTTGACGAGTCAGGAAAGTACGTGGAGGATATTGAGGCGTTGGAGGCCATGGAGTGGGCGAATCAAGAGGTGTCTACTCTTAAGGGTGGTCTGATGCCGGGTACTCCTGCCTTGGATTGGAGTGTCTTTATGCCTACT